TTATAAGTTTTGTTATCGATCAAACTCTTTTTTTTTTCCTCTCAATTTTCAAATGTCTAATTTTTCGATATTATACTAATCTAATTAAAATATGTCAAAAGTATAGTTTACAGTGTCTTTACTCCTTCAGCCTTAAAGTTATGTGGCAATTCCCCTATTCATTATAATTAATTTATATCTGTGTATATTGATTCACTCGCCCCACAGTGAACCGCGTATCACAACTCACTTTAAATCTTTCTGTAAGCCGTTATTTAATAATTATTTTGGTTTTAGTGATTTCTTATTATGAAGGAAATATATCTCAATCATTTAGCCTTATCTTAATCCTTTATTTCTTATCTTTTAGATTTCTTATTATGAAGGACATCTCAATCCTTTTACCTTGAAAAATATAGAGTACATATTTTAACTTTTGCTTAATTTTAAAAATAAAGAAATACGATTCACTGAGCCCCAACTGATACAGTACAATGGATTAGTGCGCTACATCAAAAACGCATTTATTGGGGTTTTGTATTGAATGTATTGAATGTATTCACTATGAACAAATATAACTACTTTTTTGAACATACTTTTTTTGGACTCTTTCTAAACGACTCTACAATCTGAAATTAGCTACAATTTACGAAATTAGCTTGCGGTTTTTTTTTGATGACCATTTGGAACAAATAATGAAAAAACATTTTTGCTCAAGATTTAACAGCATAACTACCACTCTTATAAGCGATAAATCAAAGATATAGTTTTTGCAATTTTTTTTTTTTTTTTTTGGTTTACATTTGTTAATCATTGTACAGCCCATAATAAAAATAATAATATAAACTTACAATGGCATAAAACATAACAAACATAAACAAGATATCTGAAAGAAGATCGCAAGGATCTTGTCGTCAGAACCTTAAAAAAACATTTAACAAATATAAGATAGAAAAAAAAAATTAATAAACTTTTACAAAATTGCAATGCAAACAATCTGTCTGAAGAAAGATCAAGAGGATCTTCTCATCAGATTTTTATACAAGAGTAAACCAACATATAAATTAAAAAGTAAAAAGTATAAGAACAATAAATAAAATAAGTAGGAATAAGCTTCTATAAACATAAAACTACTATAAACAAAAAATATATATATTTAACTTTTACTACTAATAATAACTCAATATATTATCTAATGAAAAAATGAGGTTTTTCAGTTTTTTTTTAAAAAGGCAAAAAGTAATAGGTACTTCAAAATTAAAATTCGCCAAAACAATTTTATTCCAAAAGTGTGGCGCTCGATAGGTAATACAAAATTGATTAAAGTTTGTTTGACAGAAAGGCTTATTTAAAAAGTTATTATTTCTTAAAATATATTTACTGACTGGTTTAAAAGAGAAAAGATCTTTGAATACGGCTAGGGATAAGTTATTTATCCACATATACACAAAACATAAAATAATAAATACATTTAACTCATAAATATTCAGAATTCTCATTTCAATAAAATAATGCTTCGAATGAGAGAAGCGATTTGCAAAATTAATTATACGGATTGCGCGTTTCTGACGGAGATAAAGACGTTGCAACTTACTTTTTTTTGTACTTCCATAGACAATATTGTAATCGAATGAAATAAAACCCATTTTGTTTTATTAGTATTTAAGGTTAACTTATTACACTCGAACAAATTAGATATATGTCTGAGTTCTTTGTTCACTGTTTTAAAAAGTTCATCGATATCATAGTTAGAAAGGAATAAATTTGTACCATCTGGATACATAATGCTTGTTAGTTTTGAAGCTTTATTTAAGTCATTTATATAAATTAAAAAAAAGGAGAGGTCCAAGAATTGAACCTTGTGGGACTCCACAGATTATATTAAGAAAAGAGGGTTTGTAATCATTGTTAAATGGTACATATTGCTTTCGGTTAGATAGATAACTTTTAAAATTTTATTTTTTTATTCCGACCATTTTAAAATTTTATTTTTTTATTCCGTAGTATTTGTGTTTATAAATAAAATATGGTGATTGACCGTATCAAAAGCTTTTGATAGGTCAATAAAAATTCCCAGTGTATATTGTGATTTTTCGAATGATTCTGAGATTTCACGTACAAATTGGATAATTGCATGTTCAGTTGAGTTATTTTTCTTGAAACCAAATTGATTGATGTAAAGTAGATTATTATCATGAAAATATTTGTATATTCTGTAATTTATAATTTATAGTTTATTAATATAGTTTCAATAATTTTTAGTATTTTCACATTTTATATTTATGATGGGTTCTTCATTATAAAATAAAACTCTAAATATCTTATTCATATTTTTACAGTGTACTTAATTGACCTCCACGTTTTATGTTGACTCACTCTGAATTTTTTCTCCCTGATAAAATATCAGCTAAAAATTTGTAAATAAAAAATTTTTAAATCACATCTATCACTGGGGTGTCGGAAAAATTTTGTTTTATAGGCACCCTATACCCTTTTAGGGATAATGACGCCTATAAAAAGCTATTTTGACTTTCCTATAAGAAGAAGTTTTTTAATTTTTCAACGTTTACTTAAATGCACTTTCTCTTCTAGACAAGGTCCGAAAACGCATTGCCGACTTAGTTGGACCTGCTTATCAAGCCTTTTTCCCATAATCGTAAGGCTGCATGTAAATTGTTAGAAATTATGTTTTGCTCAATAAAAGTTTCTTATTAACGTACATTACAAAATTTCTAACAAGTTATAAAACAAATGTGTTTTGTAACTTGCTAGAAATTTTGTTTTGCTCAATAAAAGTTTCTAATGTAATGTATCTAGTAACTTGTAACTGATTAGATAATTTTTAACTTCTGCGATCGGACTTCTGCGATCATTATCGCAGAAGTCCGATCACCACAAATGGTTGATTATTCGTTCCCTAATTTAATATGATTAATGTGATTTAAAATGATTAACATGATTTAAAAATTTTAAGAATTTTCAGTAGGTATCTTCTTAGGGAGCATTAAATCTGACGGTTAATTTATCTCACTGTTGAGAGCATAACTATATTATGATATAAATGCAAGTGTTGATTTATTTTAGAGGAGCTTTATGAAGATTAAAGTTAGTTTTTTCATATTGATATGAGAAGACACAAGCTTTCAAAAATCAACGCGTCGTCTGGAAGATCTAACAGACATCCTCTGGACGATGCATGCCCACTCGGTAGTTGCTGGTGTTCAAAAAGCTCAATTTTTGGAATTGTGGAAGTGTTCCATAAAATTGAAACAATTTCAGAAATATTACTAAATAGACTTTTTTTAAACTTAACCCTATTCATACTGGGTTGCGTCTTGAAGGAGCGACATAAATTTAAACTACCATAATTTTTTTCTCACTTAACCGCTTTCGCTTTCGCTTAAACTTTTTGACTTTTAATATTATACTATACTACACAATTTCCAACATGAGCGCGTGAATGAAGGGGTCTCACAGTGTTCTTATCGCGGTCTTGTTGACGACACCCTCCAATTAGAGGGTGTCGTCATATATATACATATACATATATATATATATATATATATATATATATATATATATATATATATATATATATATATATATATATATATATATATATATATATATATATATACATATATATATATATATATATATATATATATATATATATATATATATATATATATATATATATATATATATATATATATATATATATATATATATATATATATATATATATATATATATATATATGTATATATTTTTGTGTTCAGTTTTATTATTATTATTATTAAGTGAAGTTTTCAAAAAATTCATGTTGGCCAACATGAATTTTTTGAAAACTTCACTTAATAATAATAATAAAACTGAACACAAAAATATATACATATACATATATATATATATATATATATATATATATATATATATATATATATATATATATATATATATATATATATATATAATAAGAAAATATAAGCAAACGAATGTGTATTTTTGCAGATGATGCTATTTCAAATAATCTAAATTTTGTTGAGAATTCTGATGATAAAAGCAATGATTTGATTGAATTGGATGGTGAATCAGGTATACAAATTTTAAATAAATTTTCCATTTATGTGAAAAAGCTTTTTACACTAACTAAACTAACTAACTTTTACAAAACTAGATTTTGAAGATGAATTTCGGCCGGAATTTTTTTAACAATTCTGGTAAATCCGGTTCCGGCCGGAATTTAAAACTTCAAATCCGGTACTACTAAATATTCTGAACTAGATTTTGAAATGGAGTCTGACATTGACTGCAACATCGAAGACAATGAGGATGTTGAGAGCAAGAGACCAAATAAAAATCCTAAGTGATTCTTAACCTACCAAAGAAAGATTCATTGAATAGATTGTGAATGAATGAAGTGAATGAAGCAAAGTATGCAGTATTACCCATCCCTGAAAAATTGGTAACTATAAAATCTATAACGAGAACCGTTACCAAAAAAAAAGACCTTCGTTATAAAAAGAACTTTTATAATCAAACCTCCACCCAAACAGACAGGTTGACAGAGGGCAGTGGAGGTTGTAATTGGGAAACTTGGACCAATTGGATCTTCTAAAAATGCTAAATCATCTGTTCACGCATTCAACAATTATATCTCTAATGAAATGATAAATGATATTGTCTGTCATAAAAACAGTAAAATCTGTGTAATTATTTCTAAGTCTACGGAAGTTTTTTTTTCTAAACACCCATTCATTAAGGAAACAGAACTTATCGAATTGAAAGCATTACTTGGCTTGATGTTGTATCGCGGGTTGTACAAGCAAAATAACTTTTCTGGATCCAAACTTTTTACGGACCGTTTTGGTTCATCAATATTTGACTGCAATGCGTCGTGAGTGCTTTTTTTTCAAATGGCAAATCTTAGCTTTGACAACAAATGTACTTGTCATGAAAGATAGGGTTTATGATGACTTGTCATGAAAGATGGGGTTTATGATGACTTGTCATGAAAGATGGGGTTTATGATATATTTGCTGCAATCAGAAAAATTCAATGAGTATTGTATGCACTTTTTAAGACCCTGTGATTTTGTATCACTTGACAAGACCCTTTATCCAATGAGAACACAGGTATCCTTCAAGCAATACAACCCAAACAAATTGGCAAAGTATGGGTTATTTTTTAAATTAATCAATGTAGCAAAGTTTCTATACAGATTTGTCACATACCTATATGCTGGAAAGCCAAACAAAGGAAGTGAATACTATCACCAAATATCTGGTAAATCATTTGAATCAGTTTCAAAATCTTCAAGGAAAAGAAATCTTTCATTTGATGGAAGAAATCTTTCATTTGATTGGTTATACACCTCCTTGTCTTTAGCTGACTGGTTATGAAATGACATAAAGATGATGTGTATAGGAACATTGCAATCAAACTGGTAAAGGATACTAATTGAATTGAAAAATGTGGAGCGCAGATAAATTTTCTCAAATGAGTTTTATTAAGAGGCGGAAGCGAACTTAAGTTTTGGGTCATATATAGTTGGTTCAGCCACAAAAGATTTTTACTGACAACTATGAAGCCACTGCTTTGAGTGACTGTTGATGATAATAAATGTAAACCTGCAATCTACAAGTTGTATGATTTCGTCAAAGGTGGAGCCGATATTGTGGGTCAACGTGTCTGTTTTTTTTACCACCAAAGTCAAGTCCCGCAGATGGAGTATTGTAGCTTTTGCATACATAATTGATACAGCGCGAGTGAATGTATCAATACTGCATACGTTACCCCCATTAATAATATCTAAAATATCTCTAGTTCTAAAAATGCTTAGAGGAAATGTTACTGATAAAACAGATAAGTGAAAACAATGTGTTGGTCTTGGTGAAAGGCGAAAACACTGTAAAATTTGCATGGATAATTTACGTGGCTCAGATAAAAACCAAAATAAACTTACCAGTATCAGATCCTAGTGCCAAGCTCGTGGCAACTCAGTTTGTTTTGTACATACTGTTCTAAGATGTCTTGATTGCAATAGAATCTGAATAATATGAACTTTAGCTTTTTGTTATTTTGCATATTCTTATATTTGATTTTATAATTTTATTTTACTTTTTAATGGACTTTTTTAGAATATGCATTGCATATGCATTCACAATTTATTTAAACGTTTTTTGTATTCTTTAGTTTATTTAATAAACAATATTTGTATACAACATAAGAACAAGTTTCATTTTTAACTGTTTTAGCGGTGCAGAGGTTACCTGCTAATTATTTGTCAAGTTGTTTAAAGATTCTAAAGAGGGTGTTCTATCTAAGATTTTCTAGTCATGAATAAATCATTAATTCTTAATATATAATAGTTATAATAAATAACATAATTATAACTAAATAACATAAATAACTAAATATGATTTAATTTAGGTTACTTTAAAATTTTTAAAATTTTTAAGTTAAATCGCTTTTACATTCCCAAGATATAGGCTTGGTGCTCCAAAAGCGCAACCCAGTATAAAGTCCACAACCCAGTATGAATAGGTTTAATCCTAACAATTTTTTTCTTTAAGGTTAGTTAACAAAAACTTGTAATTTCATTTGTTGTATATTTTTGATTAATGTAAAAAGAAGATTGAAAGAAAAAATGCTAAGAACACTTAGCAGTCTTTGTTTATAATAAATGTTTCATAAAACGAAAAAGAATTAGATACAAAGAATTAGATACTAATATTTTTCAACTTTTAAATGTAATTTAATTTTGAGAAAAATAGAGCAAAAATGAAAAAGATGAAATTGTTATTTATGCAAATAGTATATAAAAATAATTAGATAAATAAGTAACTGTAGGTGAAAATGTTTAATAATCTAAAAACTCTGTAAAATCTGCATCATAATGAATCATGTTACTCATTTGTATCAATCAATCTTGTAATCTGAGTTAGTTTGTCAATAAGACAAGCCAGGCAGTTTAACAAGCGAGGCCATCAAACAGGTAATGCGATTCATGCTATATTGAAAAAAACAAATGTATGTAAAAGTGATATTTCTTATCCTGATCATAGTAAAAAGTTAAAAAAACTTTGAATCAAGAAGAATTTATATAGCATTGTATATAATACACATGTTAAATAATATTTAGAATATTACAGTAATTACTGTATTACTGTATTAAAAAATGCTGCATCCGCATCCTGACTATACATTAATGTATAGTCAGGATGCGTTTTTTGATGATTAAGATGCCTAACTTTCAGACATGGAGCAAACTCCAAAAAATTTTATGTTTATACTTATATTAAAAAAAGACCATAAAAAGTTTGAACCCCCTCAATTTGAGGGGGTTGCAAATATTCTAAGGTTTTTTTTTTTTTTTTTTTTTTTTTTTTTTTTTTTTTTTTTTTTATTTTTTTATTCTTTATTACAATCATTACTACAATTTCTATTATAACTTGTGAATAAAACGTAAGACATAAAAAAAAGAAATAAATAATATTTACAATAAAGATTTCGTTAACAATAGAAATATGACAATAAATATAACAATAAAAATTAGGAATAAAGAATGCGGAAACTCGAAGAAGTCCTTGAGGTCTTGTCGTAGAGACAAGACCTCAAGGACTGAACGCTAGTTCAAGGTTGAACGCTAGTTCAAGGACTGAACGCTAGTTCAAGGTTGAACGCTAGTTCAAGGACTGAACGCTAGTTCAAGGTTGAACGCTAAAAGATTATTGTGTGAGTTTTATCAATGAATCATAAAATTATCAATGAATATATCATAAAATTTATCAATGAATATATATTTGGTTAAAAATGATAAAAAAAATTTTATCAACCTGTTGCTCTCACGTTTGGGGTAGGTGTAGTTAAAATTTTAGGGCTTTTTTGTTCCCAGACTCCAATTGTTGCATTTTTTTGCAAAGCATTTGATATAAGTATAAACATATAAATTTTTGAAATTTGTTCCATGTCTGGAATGGAAGTTCGGTATCTCAAACACCAAAAAATGCTGCATCCGCGCCTGATAGTGTTTAATTTTCTACCTTCCCACTACTAAGAAAAAAAAAAAGGTTTTTGTTTCTGTTTAAAATCGAGTAAAATTGTGTATTACTACGATACGCATGCATTTTTGGTTTACACCTGGATTGTAACAAACTCATGTCTATACAGATTTTTATTCCGAAAATGAAATTAGATGTGCCTCACACTTTTAGGGGTTAGGGTGCATATAAAAAAGCAATTTTTCTGACACTCCTTGATAGATTTGATTTTAAAAAGTTTGTTTTAAAAATATTTAGTTAGTATCTACGACATATTTTTATATTATTTTTATATGTAGTAAAGAGCAAAAAAAATTCTTAGTGGAATGACGTAAAACTTACTTGCTTTATTTCACCCCACTCTGAACTTAAAACGATTTTTTTTTAACATTTTTTATTTTTTTTATTTTATAATATTTTGTAAATTTTAAAACAAAATCCTTTTTAAATTCCAATAAAGAACAAAATATTTTTGTTATAAACTAAAGTTTTAAAAAATACATGCATATTTTTATAAAGAAACAATTTTTAGCTTTTTTTTTTTTTTTTTTTTTTTTAAGTTGATTAAGGTACCCCAGAGCACCGCGAAAGAGCATTTAATAGGTTCACGACTCCTTTCCAACCGATATCGCAAAACTTGCCCAGAGCTGGGGTTTGAACCACAGATCTTACGTTTCTGAGGCAAGTGCGCTACCACTGCGCCACGGCTGCTTATGATATATAGCTCTCATTACGACTTTCTAATATATATATATATATATATATATATATATATATATATATATATATATATATATATATATATATATATATATATATATATATATATATATATATATATATATATATATATATATATATATATATATATATATATATTTATTTATTTATTTCCCCGTGAAAATATTGCCACAATACCAAAATGTATAAACAAATAATTACATGGCCGGGGCAAAAAGAAGACAACAGTAGTCTTATCACTAAGCCCCCTAGTTTACATGGTATTTTAACATTACAAGCAGTTATTTTATAAGATAAGTTTTTTATAATGCTGTTAAAAATTAATTAAAGTATATGTTTTTTTTATTTAATTAACAAAAGTCTAAGAGCAAAAAAATAAAATACAAAAAAATATGACACAACTTAATAAAACACAATAATTGACAAATAAATAATTTAATAAAAGACAAATTGATAGCATATAAATTCAAAATCGAGGCGTAGTGCCTAGAGTTTTGACTCAGCTCAAGAGATCTCAGATTCGATGCCGTCTCTGGTATCTGTAATAAGAACGTTGGGTTTTTTTTGGAGCACCGCAATAATCAAAAATAAATAAGAATGACATTTGCGAACCTTACGTCCGTAACCAAGGAACCAATATTTGACTGTCATTGTTTTATTTTGCAGCTTAAAATGGGAATCACCAATTGCGCGTGGGGTAAAATAAACTTGTAATTGTTATTGCATTTGCTCTAATGAGAGTGGTACTCAGAGCTAACTTAAAAAAATGTTTCAATTATAAATTAATTTATGATTTATTATTTTTTATGGAGCTTTATTTTTGTATTCTTTTTTTGTATTATTATTATTGAAGGAGTTTTACAATATATCTACTCTGTGTAGTTACTCTTAACATCAGTAGTTGTAAATAAAATGTTATACTTTCATTGTACATTAAATGTACATTGTACATTTAATTATTAAATGTAGCATTTAATTATAAAATGTGCAATGGGGAAATGATTTTAAATTTTTTTTTATTATAAAACTTTAAAATTGATTTGATTTAATGTTTTTCTTTAAACAGTATTTTAAATCATTTTAAAGTTAAAATCTATAGGCTATTTACAAAGTTTTCATGTTTAGAAAAAGTTAATTATTATGTTTTCATTTATTTATCGAATTTCACTTTATTGTTGAAAATAATATAGTTTTATATTGGAAGTAGTTAAAGTAATTGTGACAGTAGTTATTTATTTAATACCATTGTCAAAGTTATGTCATAATATTTTTTATGAAGATAATAAAATAAATATTTTTATTTTGTCTGAGACGTTTTTAATTGAATTTTACTTGGTTAGGATACTACTATATATACTTCCTACTCTACAGAGTTGGAGTTCAAATGATTTTTAACTTAAGAAATTGAATGTGACATGATCAGGTAAGAATGTTTTTTATAAATAAATGACATAAAATGTGCATTAATAATGTTAAGAAACAGTTAAATTAATAAACAGTATATAGTTCTTCAAACAACTTTTCAGGAATAAGCTGTACTTTTATTTTTTTATCTTAATTATTACTCTTAGGAGTATTAAAATTAGTACGATAATTTAATATTAGTAATAACAACTTAAGAGTAAATAAGTATAAATTAGTATATTATTATATTTTAAGTATTGTGTAACCTAAAGGATCTTTTTCTGCAAGTGGCCTAATTTTTTGTCAAAAAATAAAAAGTTCAGCTTGTTCCTGATAAGTTGTTTCTAAAGAAATATATTCTGTTTGTTAGTTTTGCTGTATGGTGATTTTAGATATATATTACAGCAGGTATGTCAATGGCAGAACTTTAAATTTTGGCCCTCCCCCCCTCCCTCCCCTGCAAAATATTCTCTAGGCCCCCACCACAAAGAGGTGTTTTTTTACATTTTTGTAATTACTATTTTTGATCAGTTTGTTGTTGTTTTATATTTTATTTCTTTCAATTTTTGGTCAGACGTTACTTTAATACAGGATTGAAATTTTTAAAATTGATAATAATTTTTAAACATTGCAGTTAATGCAAAAAATATGGTTCCCCTACAGCTCTGTTCCCCCCCCCCAGGGGGCAGAGCTGTTCCATTACAGGGTTTTGCCGCATGGTAGTTCTGCCACTGAGGTCTGTTAAACTAAGAATGTTCTTTTTCAAATTCAAATTTCAAAACTAAGAACTTCAAATTTCAAAATTCAAATTTCAAAACTAAGAACAAATTTCAAAACTAAGAATGTTAGTTTTCAAAGAAGAATTAGGAAACATTTTTGCTTCTTATTTTTTATACAATATTATTTAGTTTAAAATGGCTAGCAACAAGGAAAATATGTGTAGCAAGCTAGATAGCAAACAAAAATATGATGACCCCAAAGTTCGTAGGCAGATTCGAGCAGAATACAGAAATTTAGCTTTTGAACTTAATGGTAAATTTTAAAAGTTCTATTAGTTTTTATTTATTTATCACATAAGTGTTTAAATTTTTTTTATATCTCATATGTTTGGTTTTGATATTGTTAGAATTTATTATTATTATTATTATGTTAATTTACCTCTCCAAGGCCAAGAAGGACACTGCAAATGAATAGGCTACTTAATTGTGGTTATTACCCTCTCTCAACTCTATAACTCTGAAACACAAACCTTGACAAATAAGGCCACTGCGCGCAGAAACAAGTTAAGTGCGGTACTTCCAGGGATGTGTTGGGTTGGTACTTCTTGCTTGTGAAGCAAACACTCTAACAATGCTACCATATTCCAATCATTATTAGTATCATACAATACCAATACTGTTATATTTTTTGAATTTCATATTGTATAACATTGCAGTTACTGTGACTACCTAGCTAGCACATATACTGTTCAACATATTTTAAACCATTGAAAATGGCTGATATTTTTTCTGATGCAAATCCAATAATTAACTAATTTCATGTGTTTAGCAATAATGTTAGTGAAAAAATTAATACCGACAATTAATGCCAATGTAAAAATATTACAAAAGTTGATTTTTATTATGATCTAAACTTAACAATGATCCGAGATATAAAGCCCAACATTAATTCAATGTATATTGAAAAACATTGATCCAATGTATATAATCTGGTGTTGCGAGCCCAAGTTTATATAACCTAAATAAAATCTTCTGTGAATATTGAAGTACCAAACCACAAGCAAATCAAATGTGATTATTGTCTATAAAATCAATGGATAAATAGATTATATTAGTTTTCCCTTTTTAGCTTTCACTATTCTTTATTTAGTTGTGTCTATATATATATATATATATATATATATATATATATATATATATATATATATATATATATATATATATATATATATATATATATATATATTCCTATAGTTTGGGATAAATTACTGTTTGTGGTAAAAAATGGGTCTTAATGACTTTTCGTCTTTAAAAGTGGCCTACACCTATTGTATTGTACAAATAAATTTAATTTAGAAAAATAATTAAATTTTATTGTTTTTTAAAAAACCACAAAAACCCAATTTATAGGGATCCCAAGTACCAAGTTGCGTTTGATATCTTAAATAATCCTTAAAAGTTTAATGTTAAACTTTCCTAACAAATAGTTTAGGGGTTGTCATGTCACGTTATAAGGGGGAGGGAGGGGTTGGTGTTTTTGTAACAACTGATACAAAACTTGCTACTTAAGTGTTATGATTTTGTGATGAGTGGGGGGGGGGGGAGATTATGAACAGTCAAAAATTGTGTGTCATAATTTATTGACGACTCCTTATATTTATATATTATACTATATATTAGTAAAAAATGTATAATTTTTAGCGATATTTTTTCTCAAAAGTAAGTTCCGGGTTTTTGATTTTTTTTTTTTTTTTTTTTTCAAAAAAAAATACTGGTCTGCGTTTTTGTAACAATTAAATGGCTTTAATTCAAAAAAGTTCTTAAACTTGAGTTATAAATGTTATATTTGGGTTTTCCCTTTTGCAGTGTTTGTGTAAAATGCTTTAATATTTTTTATTAAGAATACTTTTCTGGATCTAGTAAAAAATAGTGCATATAAATTTGATTTCATGTTAAATGAAAATGAAATATTTTAATGGAAATAAAAATCAAATAAATTAGAAAAGCGGTATTCTTTGCTTAATTATAGTTTTTATTTTGTTTAAAGTCTCCAGTTGAACTAAAATTCTTAATGTAGCATAAATGTTATTTTAAAAAGTCAAAAAACCCACTCTTATTGTGAAAATTGTTTTCTCTGCGGTAAGTACATTTGAACCCATTATTTCAAAAAATATATAAGTCTAAAACTTTTAACTGTTAGTTTATAAATTTAAATTAAAAATTTCTGTATGATTTATGTTTTTTGTTACAAAAAATATTACTTACATAAGTTATATACGTTTTTTTATTCATCTACTCCTTTGTTTAATAAAAATCGTGTTTTTGTTGATCTTCAAAGTTTTAATAAATGGACTTTTGTCCATTTTAAAATGACAGATTCATTTATTATTTAAACCAGATATTTTTACAGCGGAAAAAACTATGTAGATTCATGAAATGATTAATATAAAACTCTTAACTGAAAGTATAATGGCAAAATATTAAATGTTTTTTGTTAATATCTCAATAAATAATTTATTTTGGTAATTTTAATAAATTCAAAATTTTCTAATGTTTAATTATAAAATAAACACAATGAAGCATTCACAAAGAATGTTTTTTTCAAATGTATTTTTTAAAAATGTTTAATATTGTTAACTGCATTTTAAATAACAGCTTTATTAGGAAGACATAGGATTGACTAAGAAAATCGTTTATGTCATAATATTATAATATTATTTAAAACTTATTTTTTAATTAAGAAACTAATCAGTTAGCCAATCTAATTTTAAAAAATTCCAATTCTATTGACGTTCTTTTTAAATTTTTCTTTTTTTTTTCCATAACAGTGCCTTTAAAAAGCATCGCAGTTTATTATGCAAATATTGGCTTATTTTTAAAATTACTTTTTCATTAGTTACAATCATATGCTTTTCTTTTATAAACAACTTTGTCATTGTCGTTAATATTATATTATACAGTATTTCACACCAAGGATTTTAAAACAAAAAAAGTCTCTCTGCACTGCATATCTGTGTTTAAAAAGAAAAGAAAATTTTTTTTACTAATTGTACTATAACTTTGTATTATAATTATGTAATATTTATAATACTTAAGTTCTGCTTTACCAAAAAATCAAATCAATTGTTGCAGTATAAAATAACTTATAATATAAAGTGGACAAGTTGTTAGCCATTTGTATTGTTAAAATATAATCTCAAACATAAAAAAGACCAGTGGCTGCTACACAATCAACAATGGCATATTGTAAGCAAAAAAAATCAATCTGAAACTCAATTTTTATTTTATTTTATTGATTTTTATTTTAATAAAATTTATTTTAAAAAGTAGCCTTCTCGGCCTTGGGGAGGTGAATTAACATAATAATAATAAAGTCTTTTACAATTTTTAATAAATATTTATAGGTTCATATTTGTTGAATAATTTTATATAAAGTATAACCCTAACTAACACACAAGAAAATCCATTATTTATGTTCACTTAGGTTCCAAATTACTTATGAAGAGTTTTTCTAACATTTTATTTTTATTTAGAGAATGCAGAAGAATCATCAAATACAGATTCAACAAATCTTCAAGAGTATATTGAAAAGGTTGAAGGATTATTCACCAAGGTGCGTCACCCAAGAGAGGCAGTTCACGATTCTAGTCTTTTAGTAACATTAACCAAAAAAGGAAGACAGCAAGCCCAGCAACTGAAAACTGATCTTGTATCATTTGATAATCACACATTTATTGAAAAAATTGTTAGTTGTATTTTAATATTTTGTACTACTATTTTTACTGTATTTATACAGTTTATTTTTAATGATAGCAAAATAATTATTAAAAAATATATCATTAGGCTCTTGACATAGTATTTTCCATCTGATAGCAAATGTGCTTCTTGAAAGTCATGTTTTGATGCAAGAATTTCCGTTCTTGCACTGTTTTCTAAATAACAATGTTACTTGGTCATCTTTTTACCTCGCAAAATTATCAAAAAAACAAATGTTCATTTACCGTGAAATTTTAAACAGGTTTTTAATAAGTTTTTAATAAGTTATTAAAATAAATTAAGAAATAAAATTTTTTTTGATTTTATTTACAGATTTTTTTAAATTCACGCTATGATAGGGAAACAAACAACTTTTTAATCAGTTTTATTAGAGAACAGTCTAAACAAGGGTTAGTAAGTTACTAAGTCAAAAAAAATAATTTTACCTGAATATAGTCTTAATGTCCCAAAAAAATGTAGAAAAATAAATTTTTAGTGAAAAAAGTACGTTATTCAAAGAGGTTGACTGGTTGAAACTACATAAACTTGACACAAGCTATATTTCGTTCATTTGTGTCTTACAATGTATGGCATATAGATTTTGATTCATTCAATCAATCACCTGTAAATAGAAAAGTATTTTTTTTCCCTCCAAGGTTAAATCAAAATAAAAAAAATGAAATGTTGATATTAGACAAAATAAAAAAACAAACTATTGGTATCTAATCTTGTCAACATAAACTTTTTTAACAGAAAAACTTGCTGACATAAAAATATTTAAAAAAAGACAAAAAAAGTTATTGATATATTGTTTTAAATTTTAGATTTCATTTGTCAGTGGTCGAAACATATCTGATATATTAGGAGAAGATAATGACGTATGTGATTTATCAAATGCAGCATGGAAACAGTTGGGAAATGAATGTCGACCATTGTTTAAGAAAACACCTCGTTTTGATTTTTTGTAAGTGTTTTTAATTTACTTGCATAAGGGGTCATCCACAAATTAGGTCATGCAATAGGGGTTAGCAATTTTGTGACAATTTGTTACAGGGGGAGAGGGATATTCAGTTTTGTGATTTTTTTTCAAGGTTTAAACCTAGAAAATCTTTTCTAATTTTTTCTAAAACACTTGACTGCAGCTATTCCAGTTTAACATAAATTGAAATTAACTTTTCATATTGACTTAATTTTAATTGGAATTGACTTTATAAATTGACTTTTAGTTTGATTGAAATTTTAGTCTATTAATGTACACAACTACTATATGTCTATATGATTAATGTATATTATACTATATGTCTACGACTTTATAAGTCAATGATATAGCTGATATATCATCAATGAAAAAATAATTAATAATAATATTAAATAAAAATAATAGTATACAACTATAATAGTTAATATGCTTTAGCTTAAAATATTATACTACAATAAAGTTATAAATATGTTTCTTAGTTTCAGAACTGTTTACCGAAAGTGAATCTCAATCGTTTAATTACAAAAAAGGTGATTACGATTCAATATCTAACTTTATTGCATCAATCGACTGGGAGTTTTTATTCCTGCATAAAACTGCAGATCAAATGTTCAATATACTAATTTCTAACTATCGCACTGCTTGCACATATTTTATTCCCAAGATTAATAAAACAAAAAAAAAGTATGATCCTTGGGTTACCCCACATATTAAAAACCTGATCCGAGAAAAAAAATCCGCTTGGCATATAAACTGCTCTACCAAATGGGAGAATAGTGAGCTTAAAATAAAATACAATCGCCTTAATCGTTCAGTAAAAACTGAAATATTTAAAGCAAAAAAAGCACATGAAAAAGAAATAATATCAAAATCCCAAAACAACCCAAAAATCGTTTACAAATATATCAACAAACAACTAAAAATTAAAGATAGAATTCGCTCTCTCAAAGATACTTCAGGCAGAATTATTGAAGCTCTTCCTGATATAGTTGATCTTCTGAACTCTCAATTTAAATCTATGTTTACACTTGAAAGCTCTGAAAATTTTCCCTTGCTAAATAAAAGTGGTATTCTTTCTGAATGCATTTATAATGAAAACTTGGATTTCTCTATCTCAGATATTATTCAGGAACTTGCCGATCTAAAGCCTTATAAATCCTTCGGATCTGACGCCTTGCATCCCTTAATACTCAAGATATGTGCCAAAAGCTTTGCAATTCCATTAACAAAAATCTTTCATAAATCCTTTAATTCTGGAGTAGTACCCACTCAATGGAAATTAGCAAATATTAGTCCGATCTATAAAAAAAAGGGAGATAAATTACTTGCTGAAAACTATAGACCTATTTCACTAACATCTGTTGCCTGTAAAATCTTTGAAAAACTTGTAAAGAAAAAAATTTTAAAGCACATTAACGATAATAAAATGCTCTCTGCAAATCAACATGGCTTCCTTTATCATAAATCATGCGTAACTAACCTAATAGAAACTTTTGATATCATTTCGTCCTCCATAGCATCTCACCAATTTATTGATGTAATCTATCTTGACTTTGCCAAAGCGTTTGACTCTGTACCTCACAACAGACTTTTGTTAAAATTAAGATCTTTCGGAATAAATGGCAAACTCCTACAATGGATTAAATCTTTTTTAGTGGGCAGAAAGCAACGCGTTACAATTAACAATACCAACTCTGCATGGGTTGATGTTCTCAGTGGTGTTCCTCAAGGTTCTGTTCTCAACCCGCTCCTCTTCATTCTCTACACAAATGATCTCGCAAAACTCACTGAAACTTCTGAGATATTTGCCGATGATACTAAACTTTTTTCTAAAACCTTATCGCAATCTAATTTTGTTGATCTGCAGGATCGTCTACGCTTGGTATACGAGTGGTCAAACACTTGGTTACTTAAGCTAAACACTTCAAAATGCTGCGTCATTCATTACGGTCGAAACAACCCCCATTACAATTACTTTCTTCAAAATAACCAAGGAATCAACCAATCTCTAAGAAGCTCTACTAAAGAACGTGATTTAGGAGTCATTTTTACATCTAACCTCAAGTGGAGCGCTCATATTCAAACAGTTGTCTCTAAGTCCTTACAAATTCTCGGTATGCTGAAAAAGACATTCACTTTCATTGATGAAAAAATGGCTCTCAAATTATATAAAGTATTTATAAGACCACATCTTGAATATGGAGTGTCCATTTGGGCTCCTTTTTTAAAAGCTGATATGGCTTTGGTTGAATCTGTTCAACGCAAAGCTACAAAATGGGCTTACAGCTTGAGGCATCTTCAATACTGCGAAAGGCTAAAAAGATTAAACCTACCATCACTTGAGTTTCGACGCCTTCGATGCGATTTAATCCAAATTTTTAAATTAATACATCGTTTTGATATAGTTAATGATAAATATCTACCAAAATATATTAACTCCGTGTCTCGTGGTCACCATTCTAAAATAAGGCGTGAGTATGTTCTAAACTGTCTTCCAAGATATAATCATTTGTATAATAGATCAGCAAAATGCTGGAACAATCTACCAGAGCAAATAACTTTGTACTCCACTGTACTTTCTTTCAAAAATAGACTAGACTCCTGGTTGTGGAAAAAGTTTGGAACAAATATTTATAAAACTGGTTGTTTATAGTGGGGTGTTTCCCCTGCTTGCTGTATGTGTACATTCTATGTAAATTTACGGCTACAACTATAATAATAATAATAATAATAATAATAATAATAATAATAATAATGTTAATATAAACTGCGACACAATATCTTAATCCAGACCAAATATCTTAAAAAGATTCTTTTTTTTAAAAAAATTTATAAAATCAGGATTGCTTGTCCAAATTTGAATAATATTTTAGATAAATAGATTGTTTAGGTGAAATGAACATCATAGTTTAATAATATAATCTGTTCTGGTGGTTTATTGGCAATTTTTCTTTATTATATGCCCTGTCTTGGTTGGAATTCTAATAATTTTTTGTAAAGTTGATAAAAAAATTTTTGTTTTGACAATTATATTAAATTAATATGTGCTAGAACAGATTAGAGCTAGGATCTATATTAGATTAAGGCACTTTTTCAGAAATTTTTAACTAAAATTAAGTTAACGCTTTTGAGCAGAGTTGATCTAATGACTCAAAAATGGTGTGTATCCAAAACATATAAAACAACTTTCAGATACATCAAAACACAAAATACAAAAATATGTCCTTTTAAAATATAAAAAATTAGAGGTGTCTCCAAAATATATAAAACAACTTTCAGATACATCAAAACACAAAATACAAAATTATGTCCTTTTAAAATACAAAAAACAAAGAGATGTCTTCAAAACATATAAAACAACTTTCAGATATCTCAAAACACAAAATACAAAAATATGTCCTTTTAAAATATAAAAAACTAGAGATGTCGCCAATATTTGGTGACTATTTGGTATTCGGCCTATTCAGCTACTTTTTTTACAAAATCGATATTTGGCCAAATATTGAAAACTATTTGGCTAAATACTTAATACACATTGTAAAAAAAAAAATGCATTAAACAAATTAAATAACTATTTTTTTAAACTTTTTATTTAAAAAGATAATTTGCATATTTGATACTGAAAGTTTAAGGTAGCAGGCTATGGTAAAATCATTTTCATCATTTAATAATAGCAAATGATTGCAAACTCCTCGTAAATTATACATTCTTTCAAAAAATAGCCATTTACTATGTACACTGTCATCGGCAAATAACTTTTTTAGCAAATTCTGTTAAGATAATCTTTCACATCTTTTGTAAAGATTGATTTGATCGTTTTCATTTGCATTACTTATTTTTATGTAGTGGAAATAAATCATAACCATTGCTACTAGGTACTGGTGATGGTTCATTGGTGTCATCTTTCCCTGAGGATTAACTCTTTTTTCTGACTTGATCTTTTTCAGAGCTTAAAAATTTTGGTGTTATTTTGCTTGTTGTGTTTTAACTGATCCCTTGAAATTCGTTTTAAAACATGCATCAATAAAAAAACTACCATACAATTGACATTCTCATTCAAGTTAAAGCATAAGTTAAACCCATTAAAGTTCAGGTTGTAGTGAAGATACATTTTTAATGAGTTTAGAAATCTTTGTGCTATTTCTATCAATAGCAACTTTTTAAATTACTTCAAAAGTGCAAGATATACCTGAACTGGTTATTTCTTTTTAAATGGGTTGAAGAGTACTTTTATAAATAATTATAGTTGAAATTATATTGATGTAAAAAAAATTGATTTGATGTACCAGTCAACAAATAATGCCTGCTATAACACAGCCTAGTCACAAATGAAGCAAAAAGCATAGTAAATGTATCCATTTCAATTAAATCACTATTCGTGACATTTTTACAAAAAATATTAAAATCCAAAAACTTTGCACTCTTATAGAGAGTCCTACTCTAAATCCTTGTTAGCTGCACCTCATATTACATGAAATTGATCATCCATGGCTCTGTGCCAAAATATTGTGTCACTAAAAAATTAAATATTTAAACGTTCTTTTGTATTAGTATTTTTCTAGGCTGTTTATTTGTAGGTTTTAGTGATGACATATGAAGGTTTTAGTGATGACAAATAAAATATTTAGTGATGACAAATAAAGGTTTTAGTGATGACAAATAAAGGTTTTAGTGATGACAAATAAAAGTTTTAGTGATGACAAATGAAGGTTTTAGTAATAAAGTTTTAGGTTCTGTTAATAAAATCTTAAAAATATTATTTTATTTTTTGTATTTAGTGAAAAATAGTGCAAATAAATTTGATTCCACAGTAAATGAAAACAAAATACTTTAATGTACTTAAAAATAAAACAAAGTAAAAAAGTGATATTCTTTGTTTAACTACAGTTTTTATTTTGTCAAAAGTCTAGAGTTGAACTGAAATGTTTAATGTTGCATGATTTGTTTTAAAAAAATGAAAATCAGATTGTGTAAACTAAATCATTTAAAACACTTTACTAAAGATTTTTTAATTTTTCACATTCTTTTTTTTTTTTTTTTAAAAAAAAGTTTTGTTCAGTGTAAAAAAACTTACCAGCATTTTGTTTCCTTCTATCCAATTCTGCACTATTATAAAAAAGTTACTTGTACGCCTTGGCTTCTCATCTCCTCATATATGTTGTAGTAAAAAAAAAATTTATACTTTTATTTAAAAATGTTGTATTTTAGATTAGGTCCTCTTGTTCTCAAAGTTATAGCAAAAGAAAGAATTCAACGAACTGCTAATCGTGAAAAACTACCACAAGGAGATGCCTTGAAACTTAAAATAGTACTTTTTCTTTTTTATAGAATTTTTATAATATTTTTTGTGTCTTTAAGATCAAAGAGAACACTTTTTTTTTTTTTTTATTTGCATTCACTCTCAACAAGACTGCAAGCAACCACTATTAGGTTGGGAGTTACTAGGAAAAAAAAGAACAGAGTTATAGAGCAAGGAAACGGTTGACAGAAGACTTGAAAAGTTGAAGGTTGTAGGAGTCAGGAAAACATGAAGATGGGAGAGAAAGTTCCAAAGGATTGAAGTGCGGGGAAAAAAACTAGATGAATAAAAGTTTTTAGAGCATGCTGGGACAGATACAGTAAACGAATGAGACTTAGCTGAATGACGAGTAAAACGAGAATGAATTTTAGTTGAGATGATAACTCCTTTGAGCAGTGACCATGATAGTATTTGTAGAAAAGAGAAAGAGATGCAACTTTACGACGATGGGAAAGAGGCTCAAGCTTAGCAGATAGTCCAGGTCCAACAACATTTACAATGCGTTTTTGGACCTTGTCAAGAAGAGAAAGTGAATCGTTAGAAGAACCAGCCCAAATATGACAACAGTATTCCATACAGGGACGAATAAGAGATTTGTAGAGGTAGAGAATGGAATCAGAAGTAAGGAAATGGCGAGCACGATAAAGAGAAGCAACCTTAGCAGAAGCTAATTTAGCAATCGATTGTATATATGGTTTCCATGAAAGGTCAGTAGTAAGCGATAATCCAAGAAGACGTAAAGAGGATGACTCAGTAAGAGGATTGCCATTCATTAATGTAGGAATGTTGACCATACTACGGTAGTTGTTTGCAGTAAGCAATTGGGTTTTTTTAGAGTTGAAATTCACAAGCCACTGTGAACCCCAATCTATTACTGAAGTGAGATCAGATTCAAGATCAGCTGCTTGTTCTAGGCGATCGAAAAGAGAAGTTTTTGTCAAGACAGGAGTATAAAGTTGAGTCATCAGCAAAAAGAGCTACTTTAGATGAAAGGTCGTCAGGAAGATCGTTTATGTAGATAGGAAACAAAACAGGGCTCAGGATGGAACCTTGGGGAACCCCAGAAGTTACTGGAAATAAAGAAGAGTGTTGGCCTTCAAGGATGACTTTAATAAACCAGTTAGAAAGAAATGATTTGATAATCTCAAAAACTTTCCCAGAAACACCATATGAAGCAAGCTTATGGAGAAGACCAGCATGCCAAACTTTGTCGAAAGCTTTAGATATGTCGAGAGCAATAGCCCTAGCCTCACTGCCTCCATCTAATGCACGATAAAATCTTTCACTTACAGCAGTTAGCAAGTCGGCCGTAGAGCGAGAGGATCGAAAACCGTATTGATTGTCTGACAGTAGTTTATTTGACTCAAGATGAGATGTGAGGAATTTGTTGATCAAAGACTCAAAGACCTTGCTAATAACAGAAAGAAGACTGATCGGACGATAATTGGAGGGGTCAGAATTTTCTCCAGAGTTTTTGAATATTGGAACCACAGATGCCATTTTCCAACAAGCAGGAAAACAAGACTCAGTCAAACACTTGTTAAATAGTTTAGAGAGAATTGAAGAAAGTTCTGGAGAACAATTCTGCCAGACTGTGACAGGAATGTTGTCTGGACCACAAGCTGTAGACGAGTTTAATTGGGATATGACTTTAGCAACAGAAGCCGGAGTGATTTGAATGTCTAACAATGGGTCAACCTGTTGACTGGAATGGAAGGAAGAGAATGTCCATAAGATTCAAGAGTGGAATTAGAAGAAAAGTTCTTTGCAAATAGTTCTGCTTTATCCTTGGGAGAGGTAATAAGATCAGTCCCATGAATGAGAGATGGAATGTTAGATCTACCCTTGTTAACAATGCTGTTGAAGATTTTCCAAGTCTTTAGAGCCTAACTTCTGGGATAAGATGCGAAATTTAGTGAACTGAGAATAATGGAGTTTAGCATCAGAAAGTACCTTTTTACATCGATTTCTTGCAATAATAAATAGCCGTTTGTTCTCAAGAGAGTTGCACAAGAAGGAGAAAGCCATGGAGTAGAATGAGCCTTGACTTGAAACCAACGAGAAGGAATAAAAATTTCCATTCCAGCCTGAATTCAGGAGGTTACGTAGGAGGCGCATTTATCAGCTGAGAGAGAAAAAACATCAGCCTAAGGACCATCACGAAGAAAATCACGAAAAGAATCCCAGTCAGCTTTAGGGTAGTAGTAGGTGGTGCGATGATAAGGTGAGCCCAAAAAAGAAGCACGAGAAGAAAGATTTATAGAGATCATTGCATGGTCAGAACCACCTAAGGGAGAAAAGGGAGAAACTGAACATAAGCTAGGGTCAGAGACAAGACATAAGTCAAGGAGTGAAGGTTGATTAGGGTTGTCAGGAAAGATTATTCACAAAGTTAACTATCTGAGCAAGAGATTGAGAAACGCAGAAGTTAAAGTCTTTAGTGCCAGCAGGATCAGTGGTGAGCCAAGCTATTCAGTTTGATAGGCATTAAAATCACCACCAACAACAATATTGGCAAAGGGGTAAAGAGAGAGGGCATGGTCAATTTGATCAGAGATAACATCTAAAAGAGTGCAATCATGGGAAGAAGGAGAATGATAAAGAACAAAGAGAAAGGTGATAGAGTGAAGAGGTGCTAGGCGAAAGCATATAAAAGAATGGTCAAAGGATTCGAACCTGATTTCATGACAAATAGGGGAATTAATGCGTATATATACCCCTAAACCTAGCATGTGACTATTGGAGTCTTTACGAATCAAAGGATACCCATCAACACTGACATCTGAAGAAGGAATGGCAGAGTTTAAATTTGTTTCACTGAGTGCAAGCAAGTCTGGTGAATTTTGCAGGAGGTAAGACTCAACTGACGGAAAGTTGCTTCGCAGACCGCAAATATTTGTAAAAAACCGTGAATATTTGTAAAACTTCGGTTCGAAAAAATTCCTTTTTTTTTCCTCAACCTTTTTAAACATATTTGCTTAAGAAATAACATCACTACCAACCCTCTATCACTGCAACATCACTACCAGCCCTCTACCACTTCACTACCAGCCCTCTACCACTTCGCTATTAGCGTTCATTATTTTTAATTAGATTTTTAAGCTTTTAAAATAAAAGTTTAACATTTCATGTAAATTAATTCTTTTTTTGTTTAAAAAATTAGATTGATAGCGTTGACGAGAAAGAAGAAGCTACCACAAAGGAAGTAGAAAGAGTTTATAAGATACTAAAAAAGTCAACCAATAATGGTAAAAAAAAATTTTTTTAATCATTTTATGTATTTCATTTTTAAATAGGCTTTTTCCTCCAAAAAAAAACATTCAAAAAAAAATTCTAATAATTTTAATTTAATTATATTCATCCTAAATGTGCATTAAAAATTCTACTTGAAATTTTGACCTCTATAAAAAAAAGAAATGGTGTCTTCAACTTCTTAGTTGATGATTTTTTTCCATAAAGAGTTTGGAAGGGACTTTAGCAATAAATCACATAGATAAGATTACATTGATATATATTTTATGAAGATACGCTTGTTATATACAATTATAAACTTGGATTGCGCCAAGTGCTCAATATACAGCTCGTAGGGAAAAAAGAAGCATAAGAGAGTGAGAGTGACTTTGCACTCCGATATATATGCAATAACAAAAAACCTACTGGCTACTGCGTTAACGGACTAACACAACACTGCGGCCAGCACTATTAAATTATTATTTAAATGTTTAATATTTTTCTCGTTTATAAATGTCACTTGAGTAATCCGCTCTTTAATATAGTCATGCCTTTCTAAGAGATAAAGTTTATTTGCAGTTCTTCTAAGAATAACAGGTTTATAGCCGGAAATAACGTGTACTTCAGCGTTAAAGCGTACTTGGCCATCACTTAAACGTAGTAAACTTTGGATAATGCCCATTTTCCAAACTGAACGTGGAACTTTTGGATCGTCTATCAATACAACATCACCAATTTTCATACTAAATCCCCAACTTTGGTGTGTCACGCTTATGTGTATTTCTTGTAAATTTATCAAGTATTTGTTTTTCCTATGTAATGTTACTTGATATGCCCTAAGAAGAGAGCTTATGGAGAAGACCAGCATACCAAACTTTATCAAAGGCTTTAGAAATATCAAGAGCGATAGCCTTTGCCTCTCCACATCTATCTAATGCTTGATAAAACCTATCAGTTATTACCATAAACAAATCAGCAGTAAAACAAGAAGATCGAAATCCATATTGATGATCAGAAAGTAAGTTATTAGATTCAAGATGAGAGATTAAGTGTTTGTTAAATAAAGACTCAAAAACCTTGCTTTTGATAGGAAGAAGACTAACAGGACACTAGTTAGATGAGTTAGATTGCTCTTCAGAATTTTTGAAAATAGGGATAACAGATGTAGCAGGCTGGAAAACAAGACTCTGATAAGCACTTTTTTAATAGTTTTGAAAGTATGGATAACACCTCAGTAGAACACTTCTGCAAGACTGTAACAGGTATGTTGTCTAGATCACAAGCTATAGAAGAGTCCAAGCAGGAAATCACTTTACATACAGAAGCTGAAGTGATGCAAATGTCAAGCAATAGATCAACCTATTTGTTGGAATAACAGATTTGTCCTTATTATAGAGATTGTTAAAGATTCTCCAAAAGTCTCTGGAGCCTATTTTTTGAGATAAAATCCAAGATTTTGTGACCTAATAATAGCAGGCTTAAGCATTAGATAAAACGTTTTTACAATGGTTTCTAGAAATAGTAAACAGCATCTGTTTTCTGGAGAGTTGTTTTGGTGATAGACATGGAAGTAATGGTTTCGATTAGAAATTGCAGCAGCAGTAAGAGGAAAACCATGGAAAAGAGTGAGGCTTGATTTCAAATTGTAGAGAGGGAATAAAAGATTTCATGCCAGTCTTAATCCAAGAAGTTACATAAAAAGCACATTTGTCAGCAGGAAGACGAAAGATTTATGCCCAAAGGTCATCACAAAGAAAATCACGAAAAGAGTTCAGTGATTTTCTTTAAGTAAAAGAAAGAGAACAAGACATAAGTTGAGGAGTTAAACGGTTCAGATTGTCTGGAAAGTCAGTTGGAAATTTGACTATTTGTGTTAGAAATTGAGAAAGGCAAATGTTGTGGGCCTTAATGTTTGCAGAGTCACTGACACGAGAACCAAGCCATTCAGTGTGTAAGTCACCTATTCCAGTCAGCTTTAAGGTAATTGTAAGAGGTACAATGATAGGGGGATTCTGATGATAAAGATGAATGAGATAATACTTTTAGAGAGATCAAACTGTGATCAGAAGCACCTAAGGGTGAATGTGGAGAAACTGAGTACTGACTAGGATCAGAAACAAGACATAAGTTGAGCAGAGAAAGTAAATGTTTCGATTGTCTGGAAAGCCAGTTTGAAAGTTGACTGCTTGTGTTAGAGACTGAAAGAGGCAAAAGTTGTGGGCCTTATCTCTTGCAGAGTCACTGACACAAGAACCAAGCCATTTAGTGTGATTAATATTATTCACCACTAACAATATTGACTGAAAGATAAAGAAAACAGGCTTTGTCAATTTAATCAGAAATAACATTGAAATGAGTACAATCTTGAGAAAACGGAGAGTGATATAGAACAAAGAGAAGTGGTGCTAAACCAAAGCACATAAAAGAATAGTCTGTAGATTCAAACCTACTTTCTCGACAAATAGGTGAATTCTTACCAATATAAATGCCCAGGCCAAGCATGTGACTATTTGAGTCTTTACAAATTTACAGCTGAACTAAAATTTGTCTCACAAGTAGTTCTGGTGAACTTTTCAAGAAAAGTTACTTCGAAGACCACAAATATTAGTGAATGATAAATTTAGAGAACTTTGTGATGACAATGGTTTTTTGTATTTTATAGTTTTTGTTACTTTAGTCATTTTTAAATTGGTTAAAGATCTTGACTCAAAGCACAAATAGTACTCAGTACACTATTTAATAGTTTAAGAAATAGCCTCATTACTATTAATGAACCCTAAGCCATAACAAAAGAGTCCATATGTGGCCTTGACAATGCACACTAAAAGTACAAACAGGGACACCATCCATGCGCAACATAGTACTGTTAGCACTCTGATTTTTTACAGCTTTTGATAAAATCAGTCTCTTAGAGAGCTACCACAGAGTTCTGGAAACCTGACTACCAGCTAGCCTCAAAATCCTAAAACTGAGTTTTAGAGCTGTACCCTTATTAGGAGATATTATAATGAGTTGCCTAGTCATGAAGATTGAGCATTCAACACCCTAAACTAGAAATAGTGTATGATTAATACATCTACACTAGCCTAATAGATGAAGAAGGGGTGTGAAGCTGGTCAACTGATAGAATCTGTTTATCCCTTTGTTCATTATTACTCAAAATTTAACTTCCAAATGATAAATATAAAAACATAAAACAAATCAAGTATACTTAAAACTTGTTTAATTTTTTTATTATCTTGCAACAATCAATCAATATAACAACAAGATCAATAGAGAATTATCAGGTTTCCTTTTTGAAAATATGAAATCTATAATTTTGTGGAAGAATAAACTGTCATGATAAATAGTGAGATAAATACTTATAAAAACAATACAAATTAAAAAAAGACTTTTGCAAATGCATATGTAGCAATATATACATATGTATGCATGGTCACAAGCAACTCATACCTAAATTAAAAGCTTACTGTTTAGAAGGAAGGGCTTTCAGGATGTCTATATTAAGTTACAATTGTGCATCCCAAATTGGAATCAAAAAAAGTTGTGAGTGAAATGCCACCAATGTCTGGTTTTTGGTCCTTTTTTCTTTATAATATACATAAACAACCTACTTGCCAGTCACAAAAACCTTTACTCAGTATACAATTAAACCATGTTATGCTCAGACCAATTTATTATTTGTTAGACCAATTTGTTTTTTATTAGAATGCACTACGATTAGAATTTAGACACTTTTTTTAACTGATAGCCTAAAATTTAGATCACAAGTAGCCACTGCCACATTTAAACAATGTCGTCTATTTCTCTGAATATGCTCTCAATGTTATATATCATTTACTTTTACTTCAAGTATATTTCAACTTCATGAGTATGTTTTTTAAATTTCAAATTTTGTCAATTCTTCTCAATTGATATTGGGGTCATTCCGTGCCAAATGTCTAAAATTTTAGGATTCCAACATGGACCCCCTCAGATTTTGATGAAAGTTAGTGGGTTGGTTTATATCAATGAGAAAAGCAATTCCTGAAAATTTCAGCTTCAAATCTTATGTGGTTCATGAGATAAGGCCATTTGAAATTTCTAATTTTTCCAAAAATAAAAACTTCAGTAGCAAAAACATGTTTTGTTCATACTTTGAAGCTCTGTATTTTAAAAACTAAATTTCAGAAAACCTTCTAGTTTTTTTTATCATATACAATGCTAGGCTTACTTTGTTAAAACTTTGACATTAAATTTTTAAATGTCACATTTTATTCATAATGGCTGCCTAAAAAACCGAAAAAATTGTTTGCAGATATAGAAAGTTGATTTTTGATGGGTCAATATACAAAACTAGCAATTTAAGAAGTAAAAATACATACCTTTTTAGTTTCTATATATGGTAGGCTTCCTAATTTTTGAAATTTGCTGATATGATACAATTCAGTAAGAAATTATGGACCTCTAAAAATGGCTCCGACTAGAACTTACAAAATTGTGCCTTCCCTTAAATCCACTGGTAACCTATGATCAACACTGATTTTCATGATATACTTTTTTTCTACTCATTTAGTAGACTTTATTAAAGTGATTTCAGAAAAAAAAATAGTGGGTACTCATGGGGAAGTTACAAAGACAGAACAATGAAGTCGGCACAAAATGCATTAAAAACGTAAAAAATAGAGATATTGATGTACTTTAGTATTCATTATTTACTGCAATGCAAAAAAATGTATATATATATATATATGAAAGTATATCAAAATCATTGCTACAAATTAGCTTCAAATTAGGACTGAATAAACTCAGGTTTTAAATAACCTTAGTTGGTCCCCCCCCCCCTGTCTTTTTCTTTTTTAACATATATATATCTGGAAGAAAATGCATATGTATTTTCTCCCAGAACTTATCTTAAAAGAAATATGTTATTGTATGTTTTACTTTACAAAATGTGTCTGATTTTTTTTCTAATGCATGAAGTGTTAATGCATAAAATAACAATTGAACATACACAGTTAAAAGCTGTGACATGGCAAACAAGTTATTGGGTGTACTTTTTATCTTTATTTCGTATATAAAATTTATCATTCTATATTTATTTATTGTGTCAAAACTTATGGAAACTTTAGTTTACACTTCAAAAATTGAAAATAAATATATATTTTTTAGATAATAATTAAAAATAAATGGCAAGTTCATCTTTAGATCTAACTCAATGTTGCATTGGAAAAAAATTAAATGAAAATTGTCATGAAGGAAAATTTACCAAAATCAAGAAAATTAAATTTTTGAGGAATTAACAAAAAAAGATCAAGAGCTTGTGCACTTAAGATGTAAAGTAAATCCTATTAAAACTATTTGTAATCACCATGAAAAAATCTTCTTGGATAGATTTGAGTCATCGTATGTTGGAAGCTTTTGTTGCGATCCTTTTAACAAACACAAAATTAAAATTAAAAGTATTTAAAAATAGATTAACTTAATGATTATATTAAAGATAAAGTCTTCTTTATTTATTTATTTAGTGTTTTATCATATATTTTTTTAGAATCTGTCAGAGTAATCAGTGCTGCTGTTGCAAAGGAATTTGATTTAATACCTGGTTATAAGCTTTGTACAGAATGTCGTAAAATATTGCACTTAAGAAAACAAGAACATGAAAGCGATTCATGTAAAAATCAAGATAACGATTTTAACGGGATTCATATTTCAAAAGAAAACTTTAATTTAAGCATTAACACCTTTGGTTGTTCACCTCTAAAATTAGTAGCTTATAAAGACAGAGTCAGCTATGCAAAAAGAAAGATTAACAAGATCCATACTGCAACCAAAAAGAAAATATCAAGTGTTTTAGATGTTTCTCCGGATTTAATAAATGATGAACCAAAAACAAAAGAACTTTGTTGCAAAAGTAAACAAGATTTGGGCGCACTAATGGAATTAATTAAAGCAAAGTTTGATATTTCTTCAAAACCAGAAAAACTTAAATTGCTAACTTTGGTTCCTGAGAGTTGAAACATTAAATATACAGAAAACTATTTTTCTGCTTCCCAAAGAATGATAAAAACTGCAAGGCATTTGAAACAAATGCATGGCATAATGGCGGAGCCGTCTAAAAAAGAAGGAAGATCTATTAGTGAGAAAGTAAAAAATCTAGTCCATGAATTTTACCAATCAGATGAATACTCTAGAATGTGTCCAGGAAAAAAACAGTATGTCTCAACCCAAGTTGATGGTAAAAGACAACATTTTCAAAAAAGACTGCTATTACTTAATATAAGAGAACTTTATTTAGAGTTTGGTAAAATTTCCTTAGATGTCAAGATTGGATTTTCTAAGTTTTGTGAACTTAGACCAAAGTGGTGTATTCCTGTTGGAGGTGCTTCAGGTCTCCACTCAGTATGCGTTTGTGAGTACCACCAGAATGCCAAACTTTTAGCATTAAAAATACCAGATATTTCAGACTATAAAAATCTCTTGACATTAGTTGTATGTGACTTAACAAATCGAGACTGCATGCTGCATTGTTGTGATAACTGCCCAGATAATGACACTTAAAGAGTATCTTACTACTTTGTTTGATAAACATAGCATTGAAGAAATCAATTTTAATCAGTGGCAAAAAGCTAACAAAAAACATGATATAGTTCCGGTAACTCTTCCAGTGGACGATTTTATTGAAAAAGCTTGTCAACAAATAGACCAATTAAAAGACCATCACTATATAGCCAAAAATCAAGCAGCATATTTGCAGCATCTAAAAATCACATTAGCAAGTAATCATATTTTAATATTATTAGACTTTGCTGAGAATTACAGTTTTTTAATTCAAGATGCAGTGCAAGGTTTCCATTGGAACAATAGCCAATCAACATTGCATCCCTTTGTTATTTACTTTATGGAAGAAAACAAGATAAAATGTAAAAGTATTTGCATTATCTCAGATAATTTGCAACACAATACAAACTCAGTACATTGTTTCATTCATGAAGTATTAAAACATTTAAAAAACTTGATACCCTACTTTAACCACTGCATTTATTTCAGTGATGGTGCAAGTTCACAATACAAAAATTATAAAAACCTATCTAACTTATGTCACCATAAACAAGATCATGACGTATCTGCAGAATGGCATTAATTTGCTACATCACATGGAAAGAGTGCGTGTGATGGTGTTGGGGGAACTGTCAAAAGACTTGTAGCAAGGGCAAGTTTACAATCACTAGTTGATCCTATCAATTCATCTAAAAAAATGTATGATTGGTGTAGACAAAATATTGATGGAATACATTTTCAACACATTTCAAATGATGCAGTTACATTGCATGAAATTTAAATTAGAAGAACGTTATACTACTTGTTCAACAATTCCAGGAACAAGAAACCACCATTGTTTTATACCACAATCATTAACTACTTTACAAATGAGACGGGTTTCATTCGACAATGTGTTTACTAATGTAAATATTTCAACAATGCAACAGAACTATACAATTCCACTTGCATCTCTATCACCAGGAATTTATATAGCATGTGTTTATGATGGAAAATGGTTTTTAGGTAATATTGTGGAAATATCTGAAGAAAATCAAGATATCCTTATAAAGTTCATGAAGCAGTCTATTTCCTCTAACACTTTTACTTGGCCACATAGAGAAGATATTTGCTGGGTTCCAATAATGCACGTTCTATGCAAAATTTCATCTTTAAAAGTGCAATCAGCAACTGGTAGATGCTATGAACTATCAGCTCAAGAAAAAACTGAAATAATACATTTGTACAATAGAATGTTTAATAACGAAATTATATAATAACAAAGCAAAATTTTTATATGCTTGATCAATCGAAAAAATGTATTAAAGCATGCTTGAATGATTCCATCTTTATGTTGATTTTTTATTAAATAATGTTTTTTAATGCATAATACGTATTATATAATTACATAATAAACTTGTGTATTGCAATGACAAATCAAATTACTCTTATCACTTGATATAATCTGTAATCTAAATTTAAACATGACAATAATAAAATGGGGAAAATGATACTAAATTTAAGTCAGAATATAAAACTGTAAGATAATAACTGATATAGAAACAAAAATGTGTTGTGTCTAATAAGCATTTACAAATAAATAACACAGCTATTATTTGAGTATACTTGGTGCATAAAGATACTTCATGCATCAGATATAATAACAGAAACATTGCATAAGCTAAAATGTTTAATAAACAGTAGTTTAAAATGTTATCAAGAAATAAGTTCTTCTTAAGATAAGAATGTTCTGGGCAAAAATACACATTTATAAAAATAAAGACAGGGTGGGGGGGGGGGGGTAGAGGGCAACTAAGGTTATTTAAAACCTGAGTTTAATTCAGTCCTAATTTGAAGCTAATTTGTAGCAATGATTTTGATATACTTTCAAATATATACATTTTTTTGCATTGCAGTAAATAATGAATACTAAAGTACATCAATATCTCTATTTTTTGCGTTTTTAATGCATTTTGTGCCAACTTTATTGTTCTGACTTTGTAACTTCCCCATGAGTACCCACTTTTTAGGGGTCCATAATTTCTTACTGAATTGTATCATATCAGCAAATTTTTGAAAATTAGGAAGCCTACCATATATAGAAACTAAAAAGATATGTATTTTTACTTCGTAAATTTCTAGTTTTGTATATTGATCCATCAAAAATCAATATTCTATATATGCAAACAATTTTTTCGGTTTTTTAGGCAGCCATTATGGATAAAATGTGACATTTAAAAATTTAATGTTAAAGTTTTAACAAAGTAAGCCTAGCATTGTATATGATAAAAAAAACTAGAAGGTTTTCTGAAATTTAGTTTTTAAAATACAGAGCTTCAAAGTATGAACAAAACATGTTTTTGCTACTGAAGTTTTTATTTTTGGAAAAATCAGAAATTTCAAATGGCCATATCTCATGAACCATATAAGATTTGAAGCTGAAATTTTCAGGAATTGCTTTTCTCAATGACATAAACCAACCCACTAAGTTTCATCAAAATCTGAGGGGGTCCATGTTTGACCCTGGTTCACTTGGCATGGAATGACCCATTGTGGAGATTTCTGCATTTCTACAATTGGTATTGTGGAGGTTTCTACAATTCTACAATTGATATTGTGGAGGTTTTTACAATACTCTTCTTGTTTTGCAACATTTACTGTTAGTTTATTAAATTACTTTTTAGTTTTAATTTTAGTCATTTTTGTTGTCTCAATCCTTCTCAATTGATATTGTGGAGATTTCTGCATTTCTACGATTGGTATTGTGGAGGTTTCTACAATTCTACAATTGATATTGTGGAGGTTTTTACAATACTCTTCTTGTTTTGCAACATTTACTGTTCGTTTATTAAGTTACCTGTTAGTTTTAATTTTAGTCATTTTTGTTGTAGTTTTATCCTTAATTTTAATAATTTATTTTATATACAATTATTTTTTTAATTTGTTGTATATTTATTTGATTTTAGTTTACGTTTTTAATAATTTTGTTCAATTACAGGTATGCAAGCTGTTTGCTTATTTCAATTTATTATTAATCCCACTTCATTTGGACAAAGTGTAGAAAATTTGTTTCACTTATCATTTCTCATCAAAGTGAGTTTGTTAATTGTTTATAGTTTGTGTATCATTGTAATCACAAGTTAGTTTGTGAAATATATAAATTTATAAATAAATATGTATATATCAAGGCTTTAATTAAGTGATTGCAAATTGCAGTATTCGGAAATAATTCTGGTCATTAAATCATCTCAGTTTAATAAAAACCGTAAACTCTGTTTTAATCAACCCTAGGAATTAGGAAAAATGAGGTCGGCAAGTTATTGTCGACCTCAATCTTTTTAAGGTTGGCAAAAATTATTTGATACAAAGGTCTGACTATAAAACATAAAAACGAGGTCAGCAAATAATTGCCGACCTCAAACACTTTCAGGTCGGCAGTTAGGTTGGCATTGCTGAATGCTGACCCTAATTCCGAGGGTTGGTTTTAAAGAAACGGTCAATTTATTATATTGCAAAAATTAATTAAAAAGCAAAACAATAAATTTACTAGTGCAAAAGTAATAACAGTCAAAACGTAGATATTTTTAATTATTTTTTTTAATTATTTTTTTTTTAACACCAGCTAGTTTAAGGGTTGTAAATTAAAAAAAGTTATAAAAAAAAATAATTTTATATGAAAGGTTCAAAAAATTTGCACGGCAATTAAAAAATTATGCTAAAGCTATTTGCGCATTGCATGAAACATTAATATTGATATTTGTTTAGGAGGAAAGTTTAAGGAATTATTTATTTAAAAACTTAAATGCTTTAAATTAGAAATTAGGAAATTATATACTTTTGAAGTTATGGATGTGTAAAATTAAAAACCTCCCCATTTTGGAAGGGGAGGCAGAATAAAATGTTTTTTGGTTATACTTTTGAACTAAAATATATATTTTTTATAATTTGAATTCTATGAATAAAATTTCATTTACTATAAGATTGTACAAAAATTTTTTTCAATTTTTTTTATTTGCCCTATTCGGTGCCCCAAAAGTGTTGTATTTTCTATGTTCCCAAAATTAATTTTTGACAGAACATCATTATTTGATATTAGTATTAGTATGTAAAAGTTTAAGGTTTCCAGCGTTTCTGGAATTTTTTTTATTTGAATATGAGAATTTTATAGGTCCACCCCCTTTAAATGCCTTTCCTAAAAATGTGTCACCCGCAGGATTTTTAAAATAGAATTTATAAAGATATTTGGGGTGTTCCAAAAATCAAACCTAAAAGGTCAATTTCTGATCTGTGTACCACAAGCAAGTAATTCTGGTGAATTTCACAACAGATAAGATTCAACAAATGCAAAAATCACTTTAAAAACCACAGATGTTTATCATAGTGGTACCACTGTTTTGGTTCAACTATTCTTTACAAATATTTGTAATTTCCAAATAGCGCTCTAAAAAAGATTCCTCTGGTAAAATGGGCCCTGGTTAAATGAAATTTTGCTTAGATAATAACTATTTTATATTTAACTGTAGTATATTGTGTAGCTGATCATAAACATTTAAGAAAACAATTTTTCATTATTTTATTTTAGCAAAAAAAGTTTAAAATTTAAAAGGTTCCTTTTAAAATTTTGTTGAGCTTAATATTTTTTATCGTAATTGTAAAATCGTAATGAGTATTGTTTTTGTTTTTTTACATTTTTTAAAATTTTAACATGCTGTCTTTTTATTTGCATAAGGTTAATACAAAAATAGAATAAAAATTTGTTTAACACTAAAAATAAATATACATCCTAAATTGGTTGAAACAGGCTCTGGGGCCTGCTTTACCTATGCTGTTAGAAAAACTTTATGGCAAAATGTTACAGTAAAGTATTGAAAAGTTGTATTGACAATATTATTATAAAGAAAGTTTTTCCTTATTTTTATGTAAAAATGGTACTTTTAACGACTTCCTTTGCTATTTTTGATTTAAATTAACAATTATGTATTTTGTGTTTTTTAACTTTTATTCATGCCATTTATAATAAATTTAAATTACATTTATATATTGTTATATAAAAAACTTCTTTGTTATTATATTATATATTACATTATATATATTGCAAAATTATAGTACATCCTTAGACGTTTTATAGTTTGATGAAGTTTGACTGAATTTAAATGTTTTTTATCAATACCTAAAACAAGATTTTAGATATAGGGAAATATGTCATAAAAACAGAAAGCCAGTATTGGAGTGCAAAGTTAGCAGTTATTGAGGCTGTAGGAGAGAAAAAAACTGATTTAAAAAAAAAAATGCAGGCAGTTCAGTGTACCACGGAGCACTGTCACATGAGCTGTGACGTATATCAAACATATGTTGTACAGCTGCTATATCTAATCGTTATCATTTTTTTTTATCTTTTTCAAAAGAATAAAAAAGAATTCTCTTAAAAACAAATTATTTCAAGAAATCAATGTAAAATGGTGCTGTCTGATGCTAAGCTCAATTATTCTCAGTTTACTAAATCTTGTATCTTATCTCAGAAGTTAGGCTGTAGAGACTTTTGGAAAATCTTCAACAGCGTCATTAACAAGGGTAGGTCTAACATTCCGTCTCTCATTCGTTGGACTGATCTTAGTACCTCTCCTAAGGATAATTCAGAGCTATTTGCAAAGAACTTTTCTTCTAATTTCAAAGACTCAAATCTTTTAGTCATTCTCTTTCGTTGATTCCAATTAAACATGTTAACCCATTGTTAGACATTTAAATTACTCCAGGTGCCGTTGCTAAAGTCATATCTAAGTTAAACTCTAATAGGACTTGTGTTTCAGACAACATTCCTGTCATAGTCTTAAAAAATTGTTATTCCGAACTTTCATCAATTTTTCTTAACTATTTAATAAGTGCTTGACTGAGTCTTATTTTCCTGTCTACTGGATAATGGCATCTGTTGTTCCAATTTTCAAAAACCAGCGTTTAGTAATAGAACTAATGCAGTCTGTTTTCCGAACATCAGCTCCCTATTTTCTAGCAAAAATTTAGAAGCTTTATTATCGTCCCTTGATACTTCAAAAGCATATATACCGTCAATACCTGTAGGTATTGACGGTATATATGCTTATGTTTTAAAAAGTTGCTCAGCTAGTTTCAGTAGGCCACTTTCTAATATATTTAAATGCTCCATAGTCTCTGGTCAGGTTCCATCATATTGGAAGCTTGCAAATGTCTTACCCATTCACAAGAATGGTTGTGGTACTGATCCAAAAAATTGCCTATTTCACTAATTTCTGTTGTTTGTAAGATTATGGAAAAGTTACTTTGCGACTTAAAAGTTCTGGAGTCATTGTTTCTTTCTTGATTTATTTTCGCTTTGATATGTATAAAAATTGTAAGATAAAAAAAGACAACCACACTTTATTATCTTATCATCAACATGGATTTGTTCATTATCGTTCTTGTATGACTAATTTTTTAGAAGTATTAGCCATTATTACCGAAGTTCTTAATGATCACTACTCTGCAATACTAATTCTTTTAGACTTCACTTAAGCTTTTGATTGTGTTTCTAAAGGGATATGGTTTTAGTGACATGATCTATAATTGGATAAAAGATTTTTTGAGCAATAGAAAAAACATGTTATTCTTGGTAAATCTTCTTCTGATTGGATAGATGTACTGAGTGGAGTTCCTCAGGATTCGGTTATTGTTCCACTTTTGTTTTTAATTTTTATTAATGGCATGCCTAAGTTTTTATCAAATTTCTGTAAGTTATTTGTTGATGACACTCAATTAATTGCAAAAATCAAAGGTTCATCTGATCTAGAACTCGTCCAAAAAGATATTGATCTCTTACTATATTGGTATAAACTTTGGGGCATGGAATTTAATATAAATAAATGCAAAGTAATAAGCTTTTATGGTGGTTTTGATGTTTTAGACTACTCTTTTGGTATGCTTAACTCATCAAATACTCTTATTCCTTTTGAAAATGTCGATATTGAAAAGTCACTAGGAATTTATTTGAACTATAAACTTAAGTGGTCTGATTAAATAAGCTATGCAGCATTAAAAGCTAACCAGATGCTTGGTATTCTTAAAAGAATCTTTATTAATTTAGAATTCTATTATTTTTTTAAAACTATATACTACCTATGTTCGTCCACTGCTTCAATTTTGCGCTCCAGTATCTTAATATCTTTCTTAAAATCCTTATTTTAAGAAAGATATTGAGAGACTCGAAAAAATTCAATGCAGACCTACTAAACTTGTTCCTCAATTAAGAAACATGAACTGCAAATCTCAATTGGCTAATTTGGGATTAACAACACTTTCAGAAAGATAAATGAGAGGTGATTTGATTCTCCTTTTCAAAAGTCAACTTCCTAAATCCAAATATAATACCCACTTGTTTTCCTAATTGCCCTGCAGGAAATTTACGAAACAAAATCCACAATCATGCCATTGTCAGAAAAATTTCAAATAATTTGCATAAACATAACTTCTTCCCTAATAGAATTGCATCCCAATGAAATACCTTGCCTTTTTATTCCTCACATTCTGTCAACGAATTAAAAAACGATCATTTTTGTATCTCCACTAGAATAAAGTCTATTATAGCAGAGCATCCTCAGATATCCAGTTCATGGAAGCTAACTATTTCTATTGTAGATTATTTATAATAATAATTTTCTTTGCTTTTTTTTTCCCACAAAAATTTTTTTTTGGAAAAAAAAAATCTAGAAACTAAATTAGGCATTATTTTTCCATTCGTGTAGTTTTCTTTAAATACTAATCAAATTTAATCATTTTATTTGATTGTTTATCTTGTGTTTTTTATCTTATCTACAAATTAATAACAAATTTGTTTTAGGACGGAAGAGCTACTATTGAATTGGATGAGCAAAAATGCCCTACAATCAGTAAGTTTAAACTTATCTTAGGTTTATATTATAATTTTATATGCTTGACTTATTTACATTTAATAAGCGTTTATTAAATATGTTCGGTTTATTGAAGTGTTCTGTTTTAAATCTTTTTGCAACAACAGATCTTCATAAAGAATATAACGAGACAGAATATGCAGATATTGTTTATAAAAAGCAAGTAGTCATGACTTTAACCATGGCTGATTGGAAGGTGGGTCACTTTTTTATTTGAATTTAAAAATGATTTTTTTGTAATCGAATTTTATAAAAATAGTTCTTTAAAACACTTTCACGTAAAAAAAAAAGAAAACGTTTTAATCAAAATATTTTTTTGGTTTTAGGAAATCATAGAAGTTTATAAAATTAATGAACCCACAATTCCAACTCGAGAATGGTTTATTACAACATAGTCCGTATAATCTAAAACGAAGAAGTAACTATTTTTGACAACTTTTTTTACGTCATCTCTTGCGTTAAGCTGTAAAATTCGTGTAATCCCAAGTTTAAACAACTGATAAAAACAGTTTTACTGGCAATACATTTCAAACTATTATCGTTTGGTAATAAACTACTGTATTACGACGGTTGAGCGCTTTTTGTTATCTCCAAAATGTTGGCATAAAAAAATTGACGATCACTGTACATAACTTATGGTATGTTGTATATGTTATTGTATATATATATATATATATGATATATATATATGATATATAGTCTTGTAAATATCTTATGTTAGTGTAGATGCTTTTTTTGTTATACATGCATCGTTTTTTTTTATGTATAAATTTTATTATTTTAAAAATTTATCTTATAATTTTTCTACATATCAAAGTGAAAATAAATCAAGAAAGAAACAATGACTCCAGAACTTTTAAATCCATTTAAGTAGAAAAAAAAACTAGTTTATTATAATCTTGGTTATCGAAAAATATTAACGCTGAACGTCTGCCTTAAAGAAACTATGTTTTGAACGATGACCATAACCAGTTGATACATTACGAATAATTGCCGAGATAAAAATGATTCGGATTATGGTAATATTTCTTTCCATATTCAAATTACGATAATGTTTCTGGCCATATATATTCATGTTTTTACTTAATGGTCAAAAAGTACCGGAGTCGCTGTTTCTTCCTTTACTTTTTTTTTTAACTTTCATAAGAAGGAAAATTATAAAAGAAACTTTATATATTATAATAATAATATTTACTTTATATATTATAATAATACTTTATATATTTATAATAAAACTTTATATATTATAATAATGATAATATTTTTACATTAAAAAGCGATGCATGTAACAGAAAAGTTATCCATACCAAAAAAAAAAGAGAGAAGTTTTATTGCAGACAACCGCAGCACAATTTTTACTAAAAAACCTAAATTCAATTTTTATATTTTATTTATATTTTAATATAAAACGTTTTTAATAGCATATTAGATTTAAACTATAATTTACTCTAAAAGTTTTATCGCTGAAATAACAAAGTGTAAAAGAAATTATTTAATAAGCATTTAAAGAGAATTGCGTAGGAACCTTTTGCGGAAAGTCTGCTTTAAACCATGTAAATTATTTTTGTTAAATCATTTTTGTTGTTTTTTTTTGTGTGTGTGTTTTTTCTTTTTTCTTTTCGGACGGAAGAAAATTTTTGGATGTTACAAAACTTCCAGAAAACATAATATATGCAGAATATTATACTCTCTTATGACCCGAGCAGACATTGAGCTTCGAAATTTTGATCCTGTGTTAAAGCGATATTGTTGCTTATTGTTACAGATGTGATTAGGATTGTGCAATCTCCTCGCAGCTTATCTTTACATTTACATTTGTGGTTTTAAATTAGACTCATCAAAAAGTGTAGCAAGGTATTATAATAATAAAATGATGGTTTACGCCTTGAGAACACTCGGTCAAAGCAAAGTTGGTCTGCATAGGTTCACGCTAATTATGCCAAAAGGATTATGCAATACATACAGTATTATTGTGAGGTTTTTGTGTTTGTGTGTAGTTTATTCCCCCGTTAAAGAATGTTTAAATTGCATATACATATATCAAATTTTAAGGCTGGAACAAGAAGAAGGCGCATTTTGTCTTATCGCCGAATCCCATTTAAAAATTTTAATTATTTGTTATATAAAAATTTAGGGGAATCCATAAAATACGCACGCAGTTAAACCAGTGGTTTAGGACCTCTCCCTCCTCTCTCGTACGCACGCACGTACTTAATTAGAAATGAAATAAAAAGTAACTAAAAGAATAAAGTCAAAATAATTATAAGATGTTAAAATGCTAACAATTGCTGAAATGTTTAAGAAATATATAAACAAAACTCTTAAAAATAAAATTTCATAATTAAAATTAACACAAGATGAATTTTTAACGCCATCACTTGAATTTCATTACCGGTTTTTACATCAATTTAAAACAATCATGACAACCATTTAAAACAACCATGACATTCTTTAAAACACCGCGACAATCAATTCAAACAATGTGATTTTCAATTAAAACATTTAACGCATGCGCAATCTCAACATTCTATATTTTTTTTAAATAAAGGTATTCTTTATATATTTATTTATCTAATATTATATAAATTTATTTTTATTTATTTTAATTTAATGGAATTTATTTTAAATTTGAATGGATGTCACGTTTGTTTGTATGCAAAATGTATGCAAAACCATATTTTTTATACACATACTGTATTGGCAAAACAACCATGATGTTCAATTAAAACATGCATGACGATAATTAAAACAACCATGATTTCCTATTAAAATATTTAGCGCATGAGGATATTAGATTTTCATTAAAGCGTGCAGCGAAATTCTGTTTGCCAAAATACGCGAAAATTTGTTTTGAGATTGGTCGTTGATCAAAGAAAAATTCAATCTGAATCTTCATGCCGCGAAATTCCGTTTCCCAAAACATGCGAGATCTTGTTGTAAATCTATTCGTTGATCAAGGAAAAACTCAATCTGAAGCTTCATCGTTAACAGGAGTTAATTGAAACACAATGCAATCAATTTTAAGAAGGTACAATCGAACGAATTCAACACTTCCTGGTTCTAGAGGTGGCGCTCGTCACGTTATTTACAATGAAGAGATTAGAAAAAGAATTGAAGAGCTTATAAACGATAACACAACGACAACTATAATTGAAATTAAATATGCTTTAAATGTAAATGTATCAATTAAAACTGTCTGGAGATGAGTGACCAATCTCGGATACACATAAAAAATTACTCAACCAATTTATGAAAGAAGAAACAACAATAATGTAAAAAACCTTCGTATTGAATATGTTAGGTGGTATACTTCAATCTCGCCTATTAATCTCTATCGAAATATTGTTTTTATTGATGAAAGTTCATTTAATTTACATATGTTTACCAGTCATTCATGGGCAAGAAGAGGAGTAACACCAAACCTGATCATTCACCCTAGGCAACGTAACGTTTCGATGATATTGGCCGTCAATGGTTTATATATTATTCACTGCGAAGCTGTCAGTGTGTCACTCAACACAGTTTTGTTTCAAGAATATATTAATGAAATTGTACGAGTTTTGGGGACAGAGGAAGAATTCACCCTGGTGATGGATAATGTCAGAATCCATCATAATGTTGAGACGAGGGCTCAGAACATTCAAATAAAATATTTGCCACCATATTCACCATTCTTGAATCCGTGTGAAGAGATTTTTTTTATCTTACGAAGAAATACGGCCCCAGCTGGAAGAAATGAACTAATTTCAAGAATTGATTGTCGCGGTGTTTTAAATGAATGTCACGGTTGTTTTAAATGGTTGTCATGATTGTTTTAAATGGGTGTAAAAACCGGTAATATAATTAAACTTGTTTTTATTTGAATAAAAACATTTAGAGTCTTATTGGTCTAATGTAGTCCTGTTTTTGTTAACAAAATCCTGGAATTTTTTCCACAAATAAGGTCCGTGGTAATGCATTTGAAGCTAATTTAAAGTTAAATTTAGTGATGAACAAAGTTGTTATCTGAAAACTTTTTTGCGTAATTACGATTAATTTTACTAAAACAAGTTTGAAAGATTTTTGGGGAAAAACCCATTTTTGTTTTAAAAAACAATAAAACTTGATTTAAAACACATTTAAAGCACCGAGCACACGTAAAAATAGTTCGCAAGAAGCATTTCTGCCGGCACCAAACTCTATTCAAATTGTGTTTGGAACTAAGTTTCCATCCGACATAAGGCCGGGTGAATAAAAAATAGCAACTGCTTTTAATCAGCTTTTTTGGAGTATTTGCTCAGCTTTAAATGAATAAAATTTTGAGCAAAACTGAATAAATTTTTATTTACGTAAAGCTGAACAATTACTGAATAAAAGCAATAGATGTCTTCACAGTTCCGAAAATTTCATGCGCGCGCATATTTAATATTACGTCATGGTACTTTATGCGCAGAATCGCATGAAAACAAGTAAATATATAAATTAAGATAGTAAACCTTGAAAGAAGCAGTTGTTTACATGAGATTTTTTTTTATTTTTTTAAAAAAGACATTGATTTAGTTTAATATAAGTTTATTTTACCCATTTTAAGTTTAAAATCTATACTGTTTATATGTTTTTGTTACATAATATTTATAATCAAGGAAAAAACAAATTTGTACGTTGAGTGTATAAGTATTTAATATTGATTAATAAAAATGAGCTTTCGGGAAAGAAGATTGTTAAATAGTAATATATATATATATATATATATATATATATATATATATATATATATATATATATATATATATATATATATATATATATATATATTGTATTTATATATATATTATATATATATACACACAAACACACACAAAAACAACTATCAATGCACATTTCACACTCGTAATGTGTGAAATGCAAAAGATAAAGAGTATTCTTTTTATTTCTTTCATATATATCCTATAAAACAAACATATAAAAAGTATAAATATATAAATAATATAAATTTAGCCTTAAAATAGTTAAAATAAAACTAAATAATTCAAAATCGATACTTTTATTATGAATAAAAGTAAAGAAATTTCATGTAAACAACTGTTTCTTTATATATTTGTTTATTTACTTTCTTTCATGCGATTCTGCGCACAAGGAACAATGACGTATTGTTCGCGCGCACTAAATTATCGGAACTGTGGAGGTCTATTGCTTTTTTTTTATTCACGCGACCTAAAATCGTGTTTAAGTTCATCTAACAACATTTTTAAATTTTCAAAGCAAATTTATTCAAACTTCAAAAATTGGTTTTTATATTTGTAAAAGTGTTTTTATTTTGTTATTGCGAAGATTCAGAAACTGAGTAATATTGACTTTTTAACAGTTCAAATAGTTAAAGTCGGTGTTATTGCTGAGATATAACAGCGACTATTTGAATTATCTCTGAGATATTAGAGAGAGATATTAGAGATTTTCATTAGAAAATTTAATTATAATATTTTCCTCTAGTTTTAAAACAGTATAACTTAAAATAAGTAATGGTAAAAATAAAACTCCGTTAATTAATGACAGTTATTATAAAGAAAATAATTTTACCCAATCGCGAATTACTAATTTATCATATGATATGTATCGTTCGATTTTCATTTTCTCCTTAAAAACTTTTTCTGATTTGCGTTGTTTCCGAACAAAAATCCTCGTTTATAAAGTTATTTTTTTCCTTTCAGATTACTCAATTTGCTCAAAATTGCGACTTTATCTTTAAAATCTAAAAGTTTTATCACTAAAAACTTGTTTTCAGCTTATTTGACTTTTTTTTCCAGTTCTAGAGGCCCGTTCATTTCAGAAATTTTTAACAGATAATAAATATTTGAAAACCTTCTTTACCTTAAGTTTGCTTTCCTACCAGCCAGGAACGCCGGAAGGGCATAAGGGCAGGGGTGGCAAACCAAAACACAAGTTTACTTGCCAAAGTATCAGCAAAATATTTTACTATATATAATATCTAATGTAAATAAACCTTTTAATTAACTCTACCGTTCTCCAAAAAATACACAAAAAATATCACTTTGTCTACTACTTTTACTATTACAAATCGAGTGTATAGTCCAATTAAAACTAAAGGTTATAAGTCTACTAAATAAATCAACTGTTTCTAAGCTACTTTCTAGAGATCAATGGTACATTTCAACCTATGTTATTCTTAGCTTTACAAGGTGCTAGAACGATTTCAAGTGTATTTACCGAAATAATTTATTCTACGGTCATTAGTTTCAACGAACTGTTTGGCAATTTTTTTAATGTTAATTTTGTGACCTAACCCATGTTTTTACTCTCCTCATTACACTAAAGCTTCTTTCACATAATGATGTCGATAGAATCATGGTGTAGTAAAGCTTCATTAATTTGTGTGTTTGTTTATTGGCGACTTTTGCAGCTGGCATAGCATTGAAAATATCTGCAATTGTTACCACTCTGGAAACATTCTTCATTTTGATTGATACAATAGCATTGTACAGGTTAATAATTGTTGGTAGCCCCCATTAACTCAACTTTTAGTTCCAAGGTGTCAACATCATTCAAAAATGACATTCAAAATAAAAACGGCGGGGAATCTTGTTTATTCACC